CATAATTTTTAATCCTTGTTGTGCTAGTGTATTACTGATCATACTATGCGCTTAAAGACCTATGTTGTTGAAACTTAGTAATATTATTATAACAACAACGCGTGTTTGATTTACAGTGTGGTAATACAACAGCTGGCGTACAACTTTATGTCAAGGTCGTCAGCAAGAATGTGAACGTGGTGTTTCCCCTCTTTCTCTTGTAGTAATGCCAAACCTCGGCAGATAGGCACGACCAAAGGCTTACAGTTGTTTGTGCACCAGTCACCGCCTCTTGTCTGCTGATACAAGATCGCAGTTAAGCAATGCGGGGAGAGAAGAATTCTACACGAATGCATACTTTGGAAGGGAGTTCCACACCGCAGATGTTTACTGTCTGGATGATGAGTAGTATTTAGAAGGCTTTGCCTTGTGATGCGAAGAAGGTGCAATAGTACTAAGACCACCCCAACAACTATTATTACATACCGAGGCAGTATGTGTAGACAAGGAGAATATAAATGCTTCTCTCATGTAAATGGGAGGATGGAATGTTATCTGTATTTCAATGATAATTTCGTATAGGTAAATACTTAATGATTAAAAGTAGCGCTTATCTTTTGAATAAACTTTCCCCGTTGAATGTGGCGTGATATTTGCTCTCTGACTTATCTCTTTTATAGTTGTGTTCACAGTCCATCCACGTAGTATGGCCACTAACGTTCTTATCACACGTAAACCAATTAATAGACAACTCACTGAGGACAGTTATGTTCACTCTAGCATATAAAGAACAATACATCACCACTAGATGAACTATTGTAATATAACAGCTGGCACCACATGACAACATACTAAAGGACAGTTCTCTAGGAACACTCATAACACCATCCACTGTACATGAGGTTTTTGCACCATTGTGCTGTTTGGCACTACACTTTTCAGGAGGATGTAATGCAACACTAGAGCACATATTTGCATACAGCCAATAGCAGTAATTCAGTCTTTCCTTGTCACGAGGTTTCATGTTCAACCAACGATTCGTTTTACTTTACCTTATATATTGACAGAATTTTAACAACTTTTCAAAAGTCTTTACGGTTATAACGACAGTTTTTAAAATGAGCATTATATACACATAAATAAACTATACTAATGCTATCAGAAGGAATATTTGGTGGCCAGGAGTGGCCCCGAGTCTCTCTTTACCTCTGGATATATTGTGGGGGTATGAGATATTGGTTCACACTCAGGATGGGATGGAGAAAGGAAACTCACAATGTGCTCACTGTATACATATTGTATTGGATGTACAATGCAGCTTGTTGCTGGGTAGGTAGCATGGTAATAAGCGTTGAGTGGAGAGAGCTGGGTGGTGAGGGTGCCCAGAGTGAGGGCACGCGGCTTGAGGGACGCCAAGGTCGCTGGCAGGAGCGGCAGCCGCCAGGCTGGCGCGGAGGAGGAGGTGTTGCTTGCTGGTGGCACTGTGTAGAAAGAGGGTGGTCACAGCGGTGTCAGGCCTTATAAGGCGGGGGTAGGCGTGGGTAGATAGTTGATCCCCGCTCCGTGGGCGACGCTGGAGGCGTAGGCTGGGGAATTCGAGAAGGGTCGGTGCTTGTAGGGGAGGAATCCACTACAATATATCAGTGTCTCGAATGTTGTTTGTGTTCCCGATTATGTACTGTACTTAGTTCTCATGTCGTAAATCATTAATGGTTATATAAGGTATTTTTGGGAGTCTAATATTTATGAATTTTCCTGGTCAATAAGGTCATATTAATGACAAATTTAGAAACGATTTTTACAAAATATTTTCTTTCTTTTTTAATATTACGTTCATAGTTAGTTTTAAAAGGCTGTTATACTCAGTCTTGTTTATTCTTTCATTGGAAATGAGTTTTATCACAGCTGAATAATACATCGATCTATTAAAAAAAAATCCTGTCTGTCTGTTTTTTCCAGCCATAGCTCCAAAATGGAAGCAGTTAGAGATATGAAACTTTACACACATATTACATGTTCACCTTGGTATAACTATTGACCACTGACCCCCGGGTGGTTACCCGTGTCAGGGAGGGCAAACTGTGACAGTCAAGGTTATAGAGTAAATACCTAACTCGAGAGAAGCCGAGCAACTTTGCTAGTGCATGAATAAAATAAGTTAAAACTGAGGATGTTTTCAGAACGAATCCCATTCAGAAACCCACGGTGTTTCTTTATACTGAGGCCAGAGCCTTGCTGGTCACAAGGGCGTTCACGCCCACAACCTGACGAAGTGGGCGAGCGCTCTCGTGACGGGCGGCCACACAGTGCGCCCGTCACTGACGTCGATGACAACCCCTTGAAGTTTCATCAGCCACGTGTTCAGAGGCAGCGTGTTGGAGGCACCATGGTTTACCATGTCATCGTCTTCGTGACACATATACTGTAATATCTGTTTCAAAAACCACTTATAACAGCAGCAACAGTATTTTAGCAACATCAACTTTACAAACAGGATATTTCAGATGGTGACCATATGAGCGGCAGGTCGTATATAAGGCCGAGCATTTACATAAGAACATAAGAAAATATGGAGACTGCAATAGGCCGGTTGGCCTGTGCATGGCAGCTCCCGTCGAGAGTTACTACCACTCTCTATCATGAATCTATCTAGCCTCCTTTTAAAACTTTCCAGCGTTCCAGCACTTATTACAAAGTTGCTAAGCTTGTTCCACTCGTCCACCACCCTATTTGTGAACCAGTTACTTCTTATCTCCCTCCTAAACCTAAACTTATCCAACTTAAATCCGTTGCTAAGAGTCCTATCCTGCTCGGATATTATAAGAAATTTATCTATCGCCTTTAATGATTCCTTTCACCCACTTAAATACTTCTATCATATCTCCCCGCACTCTTCGTCTTTCTAGGGAATGCAAGTTTAGTTTCTTTAACCTATCTTGATATGGAAGGTTTCTAAGTCCCGGAATCATTTCCGTCATTCTTCGCTGCACCGACTCCAGTGAATTGATATCCATTCTATAATAAGGGCACCAGAACTGAACCGCATAATCGAGGTGCGGCCTGACTAGCGCAAGATATAGTTGCAATAAGACCTCTGCACTCTTATTACTTACACTTCTAGATATAAAACCTAATACTCTGTTTGCCTTATTTCGAACATTAACGCACTGTTTTCTAGGCCGTAGGTCCGGGCTTACAAGTACCCCTAAGTCTTTTTCACAAGTCGACTTCTCTAGGTTGATGTTGTTAAGGCTTCTATACATTGACAGTATTTGTCCTTCCAATATAAAGTACGCTGCGGTTGCTGGTGTTGAATTTCATTTGTCATTTTTCTGACCACACCTGCAGTTTATTTAAATCCTCCTGTAGTGCATTTGCATCCTGCCCTGCATTAATCTGCCGCCCTATTTAACATAAGTACATAAGAAAATAAGGAGTCTGCAATAGACCGGTTGGCCTGTGCATGGCAGCTCCTGTCGAGAGTCACTACCACTCTCTATCATCCATGAATCTATCCTGCCTCCTTTTAAAACTTTCCAGCGTTCCAGCACTTACTACAAAGTTGCTAAGCTTGTTCCACTCGTCCACCAGCCTATTTGTGAACCAGTTACTTCCTATCTCCCTCCTAAACCTAAACTTATCCAACTTAAATCCGTTGCTCCGAGTCCTATCCTGCTCGGATATTATAAGAAATTTATCTATCGCCTTTAATGATTCCTTTCACCCACTTAAATACTTCTATCATATCTCCCCGCACTCTTCGTCTTTCTAGGGAATGCAAGTTTAGTTTCTTTAACCTATCCTGATACATTATACAGTAAAACATCTTGTAGCGAGCAAACATTGCATGTTATAACACTAGAGGCACACATCGGGTATATGTTCATTATTTTATAACCTAAAGGTGAAATTTATATGAGTGCACATTTTATACCTAATAAGAATTAACAGGAGAGTTGAACAACCTATAAGAAAATTCTTCACCCGACTCTATTTGTGCCCCACATCTTTTTATAATCTATACTATATAAATGTTTGTTACTCACATATTATCTTGATCATTACTCCACAATTACAATTTACTGTACATACTCTCTCGCCTTGTCTACAGGTACCTATTACTTGTGTCAAGAACTAACGTACTTATCATCTATCATTAGTGTCAGAGAATACAAGAATCTTAACCACTTGCCTCGTGGATCATTTAGACTAAGTATCACTAACAGTAAATGTAAAATAATATCTTGTCAAATAATACAAGTGTCATAATCTGTAATAGACTGTCATATTTAATCAGTGTCAAATAGTACAAGTGTCAAAACCTCATGTGCCAAAGACCAATATTTGTGTCATCAACTCATATAAGAAACTAAGGTTAAGTATCCATTAAATATTCAAACCCCCGAAGTGTGGGTGTATGAATTATGTATGTTGATGGAATGGACGTACGAGTTATGTGTGTGGATTGGTGTGGTTGTATGAATTATGTGTGTGGGTAGAATGGGTCAATGAATAATAGGTGTGGATGGTGTTTATTGTGTGGATGATGCGGGTTAGGTGTGTGTCTGGTCTGGTATATGTGTGTGGGTGGAATCTATCTGGATGTGTATGGATGTTTTGATCCACGTCAATCAACTACTTCATCAACAATTAGGAACTAAATTTCAAAGATGTTACGAATAACAAGACTTGTTTTCTACCCTCTTCATTATTAACTCTTGTTGTCTTCTTCGGTTAAATCTCGTTTCCGACATTTTTTATAAAGTTCTTAACAAAGTAATATTCCTCCGCACTGATGTTACTCTGGCGATCAGCGTCGTCGTTGTGTTGGCTCGCTGTGTTTACTCTGAAATATTTATATGATATTATTCACACACTTTTCCTTCTAGGATCGCAAGATTTTTTTTTTGTGTGTGGGGGGGTTACGCTCCTTACATATTGTATGGGCGGCAGTTTTATATAATGTACACAGGCCAACCGGCCGTCAAACTGAATTACACAGGGGAAGTTTATTGGAGCACTTAGGTACTGGTATTGCTGACAGGCCTCGAGGTCATTACTGTTGAAGAAAATGGGTTGTGGTATTTGGCGTGGAGTAGCGAAGCAGACTTTCGTTTCTCAACAGATATTATGACATCATGGGCATATTCATGAAAAGCGGTGATGAGCTGTTGTGGGCGTTCAGGTGAGACTGCCTGCAAGCAGATGTCGTCAACATAGCTGGCAATCCGGCCTGCCCCTCTTAGGGGGAGTGGACCTATGAGACGATGCATGAGGACGTTAAATAGCAGGGGGTTGGGTACCCCACCCAGAGGAGTGCCGAGCTGAAAGGTCTTATAGTCGCTAAAGGCGCCATTGCAGAGTATCCAAGACTGGCGATTCCCCAGGTAGCCCAGTATCCAGGTGAGAAGTTTACCGGTGATGCCGAAGGTAAGAAGTTGATCTAGATTCAGGTTTCGGTTCGCGACGTTAATTGCTGCCTTAAGATCAATGAAAGCGATACAGGTCTCAGGCCGGGTGGTGGCCATGAGTTCTGCAAGACGTAGTGTGTGGATCGGCTCGGCATAAATCCATATAGATTAGGAGATAGACGATCCGAGATGTTGTAGAAGAAGCGGGCTAAGGGTATTCATTCAAGAACCTTGCAGATGTAGGAGGTGAGAGAGATTGGCCGAAATTTTATCGTGTCTGGCTTTGGTTTGGGGACAATGGTGCTGGTGGGCTGGTGGGAGTACACCCTGATCAAGACTCATGTTGTACAGATGAAGAAGGGGGTTTCAGGGACATTTTGGAGACGACGAAGAGGCCTATGGTGAATGTCATCTTCTCCTGGTGTTGTAGCCGTCCCTCTGAGAAAGGCTTGTCTAAGCTTCTTGGCTGTAATGAAGTAGTTGTCATCTGTATGGCGTTCAACACTGGCTATTTCCAGGACAAATCATCGGTCTATGAAGATCTCTTGGAGGTAGGTTTGTGTTTTTATGGATAGGGCCGGGATTCAAGATAGAGTAGCTCAGGTTTCCACCAGTTCTGCAGCATATTTCCGGGGAATGTGGTGGAGGGGAGTGGCTTCTTTCCTTTTGGTAATTCTGTTGATTTTATTTTCCAGGTGTCAGCAGTAGAGGTGGAATGATTGATACTTAAGATAAACCTATTCCAGTGATCTGAGAGGCCGCAATCCTGGATATTTATCAAATCCTGGGGAGAGACAAAATATTCATCCAGAGAACCATGTGTGGGGTCCTGCCTGTGACTTGGCATCCACGATGACTCTAGCTTCAGGTATGCAGTTGTTCAGGACCCAGGTGGTTCTCGGTCAAGCTTTTGGGATACAAATCGGGAATATAATTGTTTGATGGTGTCCGTCACGTTATAATTGAACTGTGTGACAGACTGTGGCTCGTATGAACTACACCATGCTTTCATATATCTGACGAACGCTTCTACATAATGATCAGGCTCAAGATAACGTGGCCGACGTATGGAGAGTGTGACTGCCTGTCGTGTTGAGTTGTAGAATTGATAGTCACAACATACTTCGGTTCATCATCATGCCCTCAAACTATTTAGTTGTTGCGGTACATACAAGTAATTATCTAGGTGTGTCGCGCTACATACAAGTAATCATCTAGGTGTGTTGCGGTATATACAAGTAATTATCTAGGTGTGTCGCGCTAACATACAAGTAATCATCTAGGTGTGTCGCGCTACGTACAAGTAATTATCTAGATGAGTCTCGCCCTCCACACTTGGTCTGAGAGTTTGAGGATGGCTTCTTTGAGTCTTTGGAAATAATACAGCAAATTTTCAATAACTCTGAACTTTTTTTTCTTTTCTTTTTGTTTTGCTGCATGAATTATGTTTACTGCCTATATAATTTTTACTCTTCGTGCGTATTTTTATATAGTGGAAGGTGGTCATGGAGTACAAAAAAAGGAGGCACATTTGTCCTCATTGTAATCAGTTGTAACTTACGCTATAAAGGACCCCAAGACGTCTGTGAATAATATCCATCTTTCTCAATGTTTAATCTCCTTTTAAAGACTTTCTCTCGTCAACCTTATAAGAATTAGGAATATATTTGGGGTTTTTATATTTCTTAAGCGTTTTAATTTTACTTTATAATTCTTCCACATAAATCCGCAGTCAAAATACGTAACACGACACATACACGACTACAGTGTTTGAGATGAGCCAAGACTCTTCCTCACAATATTCCATCTGAGGTGAAAATGTCTCCATTAGTTTACTCCTGATGATACAAATTTGCTTATTATTGTTAAGGTTTTTAATTACAATAACACTGATAGACTCAGAACGCTTTTTAATAGTGAATTTATTCCTCTCCTTTGCGCCAGGATCACAGGAGCAGGAAACATGTAAACCATACAAAATTAATAAGAAGAATGATGACCAAATCAGACCTGCTATTTGCTAAACATGTTGTGGTTGTAAAATGAATATGGGTTACAAGAGGGAAAGAAAGAGGAAGGGAAACGAAGACTGAGGAACGAAATAATGAGTAAAAGATGACTTACGATGAGGAATTGGGGGAACGTTATGGAGTGTTTACAAACAGAAGACTGTGAGAACATAAACCAGATGTGGGTTGAGAGCAGTAAGCGTATTAGACAAGTCAATAGAATTTGTATGAGAAGACAAGTTAGTAATAAACGAATCGGAAGTGCAAAGTCAATATATAAAAAAGAAGAAAAAGCTTTACTACCTTAAACTAAAAAGAAATACACAGGTAAGATAATTAAGGGAAAAAGAAAGAGTGTGAAGAACTAATGGTTGATATAAAGGCAAAGACATCACACTGGGGGAAGCAGGAAGGAGGAAGGGAAGCTCCTTGATAGAAGGGAGAATAATATCACATGTAAACAGATAAAGTACTAGAGTGGTGTTGGATCGTCATAACAATATGTATAAAGTACACATAAAGGAACCAGCCTACTGAGTACGTCTCGAAAGTCAAATGAGAGAGAGAGAGAGAGAGAGAGAGAGAGAGAGAGAGAGAGAGAGAGAGAGAGAGAGTTAAGGATATTTGAAGAAGAGAAAGGATTTGATTAAGAGAAAGTAGGAGATGCATAGATGAAGTATATCAGAGAGAGAACCACGAGACACTGATGGAGAGGATAGGAATTATGGAATAGGAAGAGAGCTAATTGGATCAGTGAAAACATTAAAGGTATTAAAAAAACTTTGTGAGGGTAAAAGAGAGAAGTAAGTGAACATTTGGGAAGGGAAGGATGAGACTCTGTGTTTATTCAACATATATGTACGGAAGGAGTGGTGGAGGGGGGGAGATGAAGGCAAGGACGGTTGAGTCAAGAACTGAACAGTGGAATGCGCCTAATGGTAGGGTAGGGTAATGTAATGGTTGTTACGGTAAGTCAACGAGAACTGCAAAATCTGGTGAATCAGTTTACAGAGATTACGATTTGGAGAATACTGAAGGTAAATACTAAAATAAATGTCTGATTTAGCAGTTTGGTAGTGTAGACTTTGGGAAACCACATAGAAGAGAAAAACAACAAAATTAAATTGCAAAATTATCATGAAGAATGAAAGGGGTTAGAGAATTCAAATAGTTAGGAATGACGCAATGTAAAAGTGGTACGAAGGACAACAAAATAGGGAAGAGGGCAATACACGGAGGAGGGCGGAAGGAGAGTCAGGAATATAAACTTGTAGACAGAACTGAGTGATAGCATAATTCTTTCACCGGCAGTGAGAGAGAGTGAAATGTAGGCCTCTGGGATGGTCAGGATGGCTTAGAGGACAGAGGTTGTGTATTATGGAGCTGGGGAGTGGGCGAAGATAAGTGTGCTGAGGCGATGTGGACGCGAGAGAAAGATGCCTGAGGAAAGGCTATCAAAGTGTGTATAGATGAGAGGTAAAGTAGTGCGTGTGTTGGGTGCAAGGAGACTGCCTACATAGTTGAAGGTTCCAAGTGTTCCCTGAAGAAGGCAGTGATGGGTAGGGAAACACCGGGTAACACTGAAGTCCATTTATTAACGGATAGGAGAAATACAAGTAGTGACTAGCGTGTGCCATGCACGACCCACGGAGTCAGACTAAGGCTGCTTTGCCATATGGCAGCCTCGAGGCAATGTTGAAACATAACACGTGCAGTGTTGCCACGTAATTACATACATAGATGCTACTCGGCACAGTAGTATATATACAAGGTTGCTACTCGGCACAGTAGCTTATATACATAACCTACATCTCCCTCCCCCCTCACGCTCATAGTCTTTGTCTTGAGCGGATTTCTTAGTCCTAAGTCGCTCCGAGCGTCGAGGTGCACTGTGGGGCGGATCCTCGTGAGGTGTTGGGGACTCGTCATCGGTCAGGGGCTAGCAGCAGGGGGTGGGACTGGCCGGAGGAAGTGGCGGTTCCTTCACCAGACGCGGCCGCTCGGCATCCTGACCTTGTAGTCCCGCGACCGACCGACGCCCATCACTATGCCCACCTTGTCCCAATTTGTCGTCGTCGGGTCCTGGACGCGGACAAGGGCACCAATCTCTAGTGGCTGAAGAGGGCGGGCACGGTCGTCATACAGAGCCTTGGCGTCCTGGGCACGTGTAGCGGCTCGGCGGTCACAGCTCTCGGCTCTGGTCTGCCACTCCTTCGCGAAGGCCTTGGCGTGTGCAGAAACCTAAGAGCGGAGAGGGTGACCATACAGGATCTGGGCAGGGGAGCGTCCTGTGTGGGTGGGAGTATTACGTAACTCCAGGAGTCCTTTGTCAAACGCCTCACAGTCTATGTTGCCTGAAGGGCCACCTTGAGGATGAGGTGCTTGACTGTCTTGACCGCAGCCTCAGCGTGGCCGTTTGACTGTGGATAGTGGGGTGTTGACACGATGTGGCGGACTCCCCAACGCTCCAGGAATCCTGTGAAGTCCCGCCTGGTGAACTGTGGCCCACCGTCCGTCAGCAGACGTAAGGGGACGCCCAGGTCACGAAAGAGGTGCCGGAAGTGGCGAATGGTGGCCGCGGACGTCGTGTCCGAGCCACAGATTACCACCACAGGCCAGCCAGAGAGTCGGTCGGCGACAACTAGGAAATGTTTCTCAGCTGTGCTGAAGAAATCAGCCGAAACGGACTTGAAGGGCCTGGTGGGTTAGTTGTCGCACAAGAGGGGCTCCTGCTGTTGACTGGGCTGCATGATCTGGCACGGCTCACAGGCACGAACCGTATTGACGATATCCGCGTCAATGCTGGGCCAGTACACAGCCTGCCTTGCGCGGCGCTTGGTGGCCTCTGCTCCACGATGGCTGTCGTGTAAGCGGTCCAGAACGCGACGACGGAGAGCTGCAGGGACGACCACATGGGCACCGTACAGGACGAGGTTCCCATCTGCGTAGAGGTCCTCACGTATCTTCCAATACGGGCGTAGGGCGTTGTGGAGGTCAAAACGGTCGCGAGGGAACCCAGTCCTCGCACTCTCCAAGAGCTGAGTGTAGGAGGGGTCGCTGTCGGGTGGCGACACTGAGGCCTGGGTGCTGGCGAGGGACTGTACGGCC